CCCCCCAAAAAAAAAAGGAACTAAATTTTCATACTCCCGGCGCGGTTCATTTTTCTATTTTCAGAATAAAAGGTGAAATTTAAAAAAGTTCGTATATGCTGCGCTTTATGAGTAGCAAGCGAATAACATGGAAAGCAAAAGTGTGAGTGTTGCAGGCGTGCCCTTTGAAAAGTTTAGATAATTTTCAAATTCTTTTGCAAGTTTGTAGGTGATACCTTCATGTTTGCGAACAGGAGAGCATTGACAATAAATGCTACATAGCTGTGCAGACGGACAGATGAATGGGCGGACATGTTTTGGCCAAAAATTGATAGACTTTATGGGGTTTTTGAAACATGTTTGATGCGTGCATTAAAAAAGTTTTGAAAAAAGAAATGAAATTATGACATATTATAAAATTAAATGGGTGTGGCCATTTTTTTACAGATACTACAATCTCGCCTTTGGAACACACATTAAAATTTTTGTAGATGAGAAAAAAACAAATTTCGTTTTGTTTTTGAAAAAGAGAGGTGTGCTCGCTTTGCATAGTACTGTAGGTGAGTTCTTCAATCGATTTCGCACATGTTCAATGTCAATCTGCTTGCAAGAACTTCCCATATTTCTGGCGAATTTTTAGGTCGGTAGCTTCATTTTTGCGGACAGAAGGATGTTTACAACAGCCGGACGGACAGACGGGCAGGCTTAAATCGTTTCAGAATTTAATGTTGATCAAGAATATATGTACTTTGTGGTGTCTCTGAAGCTTCTTCTGATAGTTGCAAACGTCTTGACAAGATGAATATACCCGTTGTGAGTGATGGGTACGAAAAAAAGGCAAATTTTTGTCATATGAATTACGTGTAATTACGTTACTAAGGTATTTTACACTTTCTTTTTACACCCTATACTACTTATGATATAAGGCAGTTTAAGTTTGTGCAAACACGTGTAACATATGTGTACAGATGATAGACCGATCGATTAGGAATAATCGATTTTGACTTATATGTCCGTCTGTCCATATATTTTTGTGTGCAACATACAGGTCACAAATTTTTGCAATATGTGAACGACTGGCTTTTTTTTTTCAAACAGAAATTAATCCTCCTATCATTTGCGACCACGCGCGGTAACATGGCTTCCTTAGAAATGATCTTTATATGTAATCAAAATTGCGCTTTTGAAAGTTTGCAAAAATAATAAATATTTTTTACCAATTTCGGGTGAAAAACTTGAACCTGCTCTTTGTCAGTCACACTTTCGAAGAGTTCTCATAGGAAGCGACCTCGGATTTTTATATTTTCGAATTTTTAATATTTTACGATGAAAATTGATCATAGGAATTGCTCATAGAATGGATTACAAGTCGGATCCATGTAAGATCTCAGGCAGAATGTATAATTTTTGATATTCTATCGTGAAAGTAAACGCAAAAACAAAACTAAAGAAACCTGTATAGGGCGTAGGGCTATGGTTGCACTTATCCGACTGTAATATTTTTACTTATTTTATATGTATGCAGTTAAAAGATTAGACACTTATGGCTTTCTTATCACTTGATATGTTAATTATCATCATCATCATCATCGAAATCATTTTCAGGAAGTGTTCTTTTTCGTTTTTTTTTCTTTTTATCATTTAGAATTGTTTTTACAATGTCTAGTTAGGATTAATGAGAGCGATTATATGAAATGCAAAATTTCCGGAATAACATTGCCTTCTTACCTAATTCGACGTTTGCGAAAATGACGCTTGAATGCTTAGAAAGAGACAAAGGCAAATGTTGATAAACTAAAAGAATGAACGAATCATTGGATGAGCAGCTTGCTGTGCTTATGCATTGCACAGTATACGCAAAGTCACTTTAGAACAATTTCAAAAGCTTTCGATATGAATGCATCTGCGTTGAGAGATAATGAATGCGGATCGACCGCAACTGGCTGTTTCACAATTTTGAGGCAACAATGCGTATATTAATAGTTTACTCACGTCCAAAGTATAAGTTAAAATTCTATTGACATACATAAGAGAGAAAGACTACTTAACGCGCTTTCTATTCGACGGTATTGCATTGTTTTCATTTTATGCACACTATCACGCGGTGTGTATCCAGTTTGTCAGTCAAATGATTCGCGTGGTGTAGACACCCAGCCACGGCAAACTCCACTAAATTCGTTTAAGATTAAGTAACAAAATTCATTTATCATTATCTGGTAGCAAATTACACATATACACATACGCACATACTTAAGCTTTTCATAGGCAGGTAAAGTTATTCGCGAAATCATTGAAAAATCGTTTAAATCCATCAGTGGTCAAGATCCAAAAATTTGCAAATCTCATATGCATATATATATATATTAATGTATTTGCACCGACACATGTTTAGTCCTCAGATATGATGCGTACGTCTTTAGAAAAATTGATCACATATGTATATTGCCCAAGTATTAAGCTTATAAGTAGCCAGACTAGCTCACCTAACGCAGTTTTTTATTTAATTCCATAATAAAATAAC